TTCGAACGAAGAAAAATTTGGTTGAGGCAACGGTTATAAGAACTGTTAACACAATATGTGTATTTGGAAAAGAATCAAATCTTTTATTTGATTGAGTATTTTCATTACATCAATATCTTCTACTTGTATTGTTTATCTTTAACACTTTTACTTTAAAAAATAAATCTAAACCATCAATTCAGAATAACTAGTATGTGTTAAAGAAAGTTCAAGGTTAAGACAATATTTTTAAAAAAAATTCATCATCTAGTAATCTCAATATTTTACCACTAAATAAGAAATCAAAAATATTTTTATATGCTTCAATTGGTTCAAATCTATTTTAAAGTAAAAAAATAGTTTGATCTACTCTACATATATAACGTAATCAACTCTAAAGATTCTTCGAGAGACTTAGTGATTTTGTTATCCATATTTTCATCAAATTGTTTCTTACAAAAATCATATTTATATTCATGTCATATGCAATTTCTTTAGTAGAAATCATAGCACTCATAGTATATATAATATTATTATTTTTTAATAATATATATAAGTAATTGTTTTTTAAAAATGGGGCCCCAAGCGATGACTTTAGTGGCCTAGGGGTTAAGACGGCCCTGCTCTCAACTTTAACAAGAGGTCTTGATATAATTTTAGATATTATGGAAAAAATTTCTTAATTAGGAAGTATTTCTTTTTTAAATGGTGTGCAAATTCAATCAATCAAATCTCTAATTGAGATAACTACTATCGGCTGGCAAATGAAAAATTAAAGAAAACATCATCTTACCACCATTTTGAGGTAGTTCATCATCCTGCAGGTTGTACTTGTACATAATGGTGGAGTCATATGTGAGTGTCAACTAATACTTTTTCTTCGAAAATTATACTATGTAGCTAGGTAAATAAATTTTTCTTAAGTATATATATGTTACATATTGATACTTTTTGATTTTTTCGTGAATTTATTTCTTTATAGTTTGACATTTCTTAATGAAAATTATGGCTCTATCATTGATCATACATTTTAATTCTTTTTTATGTACAAACACAAGTGGCAAAGGAGAGCCTTGACGTAACAAGTAAAGTTATTTAATTTTCATGTGATCAGATATATGTTTAAGCCGTGCAAACAATCTATTGTAGGAATGTAAGGTAAGTCTTTTATATATATACACAATATATTCTTATGATTCGGCCTTTTACCAAACTGTAACACACAAAAAACAAACTTAGTGCATCGAATTTTATGTTACGTACAAGCGGTCCGTGACTGTAAATCACTCTAGTGGAAAGGAATTGGTCATGAAATACAAAATCCATTGGTTCTTATATTTCAAATATTAGATGATATTATATATGGGCTAATTCATCTTGGAGACTCAAATTTCAGACAATAGAATGATACTATGACTATGATTTGCATCCATTAAAAGGTGAAAGGAATATACCATCTTTTTACCCGGCTCAAATAGTGACATGACACTTGACAATCAATAAAATATGTGAAAATGTACTCTGAAATTTACGTTATTAAGATTTCAATTAAAATAACTAAGTGCCTTAAATTTTGACGGATAAAGTTTTTCAATGCACATAAAATAATATGGACATTAGTTATTGAAAAAAGAATATTCTTCTTTTTATCCCAACGTTACGTACAATTGCCCAAATTAAGTCATTTTCTAACAAAAATCAACATGGATATTTTGATTATTTATTAATTTAATAAAGCTCTATATTGTCTCCAATTGTTAGGGACAAATATAGCCAACCTAAAACCAGAGTTTAGTAGTCACAAGCAAATACAATATTACAACTAGCTACCTAGGACCACTTTTCTCATGTGCGATTAAGATTTTTTTATTTTTTTGGGGAGTTTCTTGCCCACTTCATTGGTAATATATTAAACTTAAAAAATGATTAGTAAGTGCGTTAGGTTTGATTAAGTGTATTTAAAAATTGGTATATAGTTAATTTGCCTTTAATTAGGTGCAAGATAATATGTACAAAGAAACTCCACAACTTTCTTAGTCAGGTATGGATGTATGATATTAATTTAATTTAATCGCAAGATATTTATCTACAATTAGCTTAACTTGTATTTTTTTATTCTTTTATTATATATGGTCGAACGTGTTTTGTTTTTTGTCAAAATAAAATGCATCATGAGTCCAAAAACATAGGCTTCTTTCACTAATAATTTGTATGGACCTGCACCAAAGATTCTCTCCCACCAAAATCGATCTTATCCATTTGAATAAAGTAATAAATTCCTCCGTTCGCTTTTACTTGTCCAGATTAAAAAATCAACAGATGATTTATTATTTTATAGTATCTATTTTACCCTTATTATTAGGTATTAGGATTAGTAATTAATTATCTCAAATTCATTTTTCAACGAGTGAGATGGACAAGACTGAATTGTTTGGATGATAATTTCTAAGGTACTGACTAGTGAGTTCGAGTCACCAGCAAAAATGAGGTAGTAAAAAACATCAGAAAATGACCATTTTGCTCTTGTACTTTCAGGAAAATGTTATATTTACCCTTGTCGTACTTTTTTGAATATATTTTCTCTTACTATCCAACTTTGGATACATATTTATTAAGTCTCATGTCCTCACTCTTAGTATCCTAGGTTGGAGAAATATTCAACATATTTTTCCAAATTTGTTAGGCTTCCATTTTCCTAGCCAGAAATTTCCTATGATGACCCAAAATGTGGATTTTGTTATACTTGTCTACATAACATGAAAGTAGAACAAACATTAGTAAAGGGAAGAAATTGCATGAATTTAATGGCTCTATTGCTTGTTGTTTAGCCTACTCCAGTATTCACCCTCCCATGCCTCCACTTGTTCTTTTGTTCAACAAATGACTTAAGCTCTTGAGGTTCATAAAAGTGTACAATATGGATTTGTATAACTAGGAGATTTCTCTAACCCTACCTTCTTCCATGAATTTTCTCCATATACCATCTGAATTGCACGCCAACGACGACTCCGAACATATTTCAACAGCATTTGCAGGAATTATTGGTTCAAACTTCAGCAGCTTTGCGTATTCGTTCAGCAAATGAAACATGTAATCATACACATATTCCATCTTCAATTCTTCGTGAATGAAATAGTCAAGATGTGTGCAAGTGATTGTTGCCCCATCACATGACTTGAAGAGATCTAATTTTCTGTTAGGAGAAACATAAGGATTTCCCAGCTTCCAATAAGCGAAATTTGGCGCTCTATCCTTCCATTTGATTCTTTTATTACCTTCCTTAACCACACTTCTCCATGGCTTTATATTTACTTCAGCCCCACAAAATTTAATAACAAATCAAATTATTAGTATATTCAGGGGCAAAGCTACCCTTGGGGCAAGGAATATATATAGGTCAAAATTTGGTTTAATGAATATATATACAAGTGTTTGACACCTATTGACACAAACTAAAAGTTTAATGTTTAAGAGGCGGCAAAAATTGCGTGTTAGTACTCGAGGGCAAAGGAAGGTTACCACTTACCAGCCCCAAAATGACCAATCTGGGAAGACAATATCCAAACTTTGCTAATCTGAACAATAACTAAACAACGGTGGAGGGCCGGAGTTAGGTCTCTGGTAATGTTTCAGTCATCGATCTTAAACATGATCTATAAATTAGGGAATTTGTCAGGGTACCACCTAAGAAGCTGTACAATGCCATACATAGTGAACAAATGTCTACTCTGAAAGTATTGTATCAACATATATTTTGCCATCTACTATAATTATTCTCAAATAAGCATTCCATTTCTCTTTCTCCAACATTTTCCTAGTGATTCCTGTTTCCTTCCATCGCTTTAAATCTAATTCATGAATCCATCTAAAATACTCAGGACATGTTGAGTTGTGTTAGTGTTGAAGGGTTTATATGATGTAGGATAGTGATCTCTTGGGCATGTATTCGACCGATTCCATGAAGCACTGGTATTCCAGAATAGGGGATTCATCGAAAAATTACTACTATATTTTACCTGCATATTGTACTCCTTCTGTTTCATAAAGAATGATCTCCTTTTCCTTTTAGTCAGTTTCAAAAAGAATGACTTTTTTCCTTTTTTGGTAACATTTTACTTTTTGTTTTCCACGTGACATGTTTAAGACCACAAGATTAAGGACAATTTTTACATTTGACATAACTTTAATTTAGGACCACAAGATTCAAAAGTCTTCTTTATTTCCGTGTTAAATCAAACCAGGTCATTCTTTGTGAAACGGAGGGAGTATCAAATAGTATACTTGACTTACAAGATCAAACCATCCAGTCAAGGACAAGAAAGAAACTGCGACCAGACTAGAGAAGAAAAACAACAAAGATTTTTTGTTCTTCAGATATCTCCATTTTTTTTTGCCATCACTGAATTATTTGACATAAGGTATAGTATAATAATATTGTAAGTACTTAATATTGATAATCAGAGTATATAATACTACACGTTAAGATTCGTGCTGCTTCCCTTGCCGTTTACGTTAACACTAGAACATTTTTTGCAACTATTTAACCACTAGACTAAACATTTAACTTGTGTCAAGAGGTGTCAATATTTGTATATATATTATTAAAGCAAAATTTGACCTCTATATACAATGTAATTTTCCGACAAAAGGGTGTCAAGCGACACCCTTTGGCCAACAGTGGCTCCACCCCCGGACTCACTTGTACATGCAATATGTTATATGCATGAGACTTTAATTTAGTGACAAATTCATGAATGATAATTTATAATTTTCACTAATTTCCTATTTCTCGGCATTAATATTAATTTATGAAATTATGAAAATATTAAATTAGGGTCTCAATGGCCTTATATTCGAGCCGATCCTGCATTATTCCCATCATATAAGGAGATGGATCACCTTTGACCTAAAAAAAAAAGAATATACTTAAGTGAACTGTAAAATAGTACCTAATTGGCTAATTCAATTTAATTATACAGCTATTAAGTAACATTTGGAAATCATAAGGGATGCATTATGAACTCGGAAATAGTTGAGGGTAGGTTACTAAATCCAATCCCTTTATCAAAGCCCTTCACACGACAATTTTTTCTCCTTCGAAGAGCGACACAGAATCTCCAACACTGTCTTCAGCAATGGCGACTCCTGAGGAAGCTAAGCTCCACCAGTTTCTTCAATGGCTAGAGGTCCCAAAATTGTTTCTTGGAAACTTACCTTTATACCCTTTAACATAATTTTACATAAATGATAATGGGTCACTAACTTGGACTTCAAATTCAGTTAAACAGAGCAGAACTACGTGGTTGCAGAATCAAATACAGTGAATCCAGTAAAGGGTTTGGAATTTTCTCATCTAATCATGCATCTGATGGTAAAGTTTTGATTTTTTTTGTTTTGCTTTTTCTTGCACGAACTGTTTAATTTTGGCAGCATTTCTTGGTTTAAAGGTTATTTGGTTGGTAAGAAAATGTGGAATTGTCGATAGGATAGCAAGTTTAGATGAATAGAGAGCTCGTTTAATTATCTTGGTTTCTGTTGTCCATTTTTTTCTTTGTGAAAATTATGCTTTTTTTCTGTTGGGTTTTTAGGGTGAAGAGGAGGGAGATAATGCTTTATTGCAACTCTGGAGTTTGAGTATTAAAATTCTCGATGTTCGTTTAAATTTCTGTGATTTTTACTTGAGCATGTAAATGCTTTGATTGATTGATTGAATGACTCTTCTACGAGCATTTATTGTTCAACATGATCCTCTGCTACTGGCGACAAAAGCAATGATCTTTTGTTCTGTTTAATGTGGTTTGGAAATCACTGGTCCCCAGTTTTATTTTATCTTTTTCTTGTGTATATAGGATTTTGTTGTTTAAAGATGTATTCATGTTTATGTGCAACATTACTTATCAAAAATAGTGGAAGGAAAATCTGTATTGAATACTGTATAGTGGGGCGTTTTTTCGTTTGTATTGTAGTAGTGTTGTTTTGTGATCGATGAAAACTTTAATGTTTGGGGAAAAAGACGGAAATTCCTCTCAATCATGCATGTGCTTATTTTGCTGTGTCAATTTGTATCAGGGATACTACTGGTGGTTCCATTAGATTTGGCTATAACTCCAATGAGTGTACTTCAAGATCCTCTTCTTGGACCTGAATGTAGGGCTATGTTTGAGGAAGGGGAAGTAGATGATAGACTCTTGATTACCTTATTTCTAACCGTGGAGCACCTACGAGAAAACTCTTCATGGAAGCCGTAAGTATTAAATTAATCAGTGTTCATTTCTAAATAGAAAACTAAGGCAATAATTGCTAGAAGACAACAGGTACTTTGATATGCTTCCAACCACATTCGGAAATCCACTTTGGTTTTCTGAAGACGAGCTTTTAGAGCTTAAGGGAACCACATTGTATCGGGCTGCTCAGTTGCAGGTATAGTTTCTTAATGTATGGCGTACTTTTAATAAGGTCTTTCTATTTGGCCATACATAAATCCCTGATAAGTGATACCTGCCACTATGCCATTGTGAGCTTAAGAAAATGAGTTGGCGACATTCTTTTCCTCTTGGATTTGGATAGCTTATTGTTTTACTACTTTAGTATGAATGTTAATTCGTTCTTTACATTCAGTATTAAGCACATAAGAACTTAAGCAGGTTTCTGTTGCAGAAAAAAACATTGCAGTCTTTATTTGATGAAAAGGTGAAGAGGTTGGCTACGAAGCTTTTAACGCTCGATGGACATCCAGAAAGGTATGTGCCATATCAAACTTTTATAACTAGTGGTAAGTGTATAATTCACCCTTGCCTGCACAATATTATACTGCTAAAAACAAACTTATACTCTGTAATCACCATTTTTACAGTGGAGACTACATAGTGTATTACTGTGCTTAGATTAGGTGCAAAGGATGTTACATAATGTGCTAACCACTTCTTACCTATGCATACAAGAAAACTTTGTAGCCTCAGTTTCATTGTTGTCACTGTGAAAACCTTTTGGCTTTTTGCTTGTACTTTGAATCATAATCTTATTAGGGGTCAGTGTTCCTTCAGGTGGAAAATGACATAATACATACTTCAATGCCTTCATGGTTGGTCTCTATGCTTCATTCATGACTGATGGATTGATGGTTTCTTGAACAATTCATGCTAGATAAAAAGCTATATGCTGTACTCACCAGTGTATAGTGGAGAATGCATATTAGATTAGTATACAGTATACTTAGATTCAGTGCAAACAGTGTTACATAATACTCTTTAGTTGGCACTTTCATCTTTTTGAAGTTGAACAGCTCGCTAGCCCAATGTGTTGGTCTTGTAGTTTTTATGATGTGTTGGACTTTAAAAGTGCATCGGTTATTTAGAAATCTTATTCTGAACTTGTTGCTTTTTTGGCAGAGATGTGAAGTTTGAAGACTTCCTTTGGTATGCATCTCTCTAGGAACTAGACAGTCATTCTCTTCCTAAACAATGGCCCCTCATCTTCACAATTCAATATTATATTAATTTTATGTAAGCTGCTGACACGTTTTAATCTCGTGGACATCATAGGGCAAACTCCATATTTTGGAGTCGAGCACTAAATATCCCTTTTCCGCGCTGCTATATATTTCCTATGGATTCAGAAGGACAAGATAGTGACATTTCTAGCAAAATCGTCAATTCTGCAACACAAACTAATGGTTGTGGCAGTTTATCTAATGGAGAGTCTGCAAAAGGTGAGGTCAATGTTCATTGTCTTTAGTATGTTTCTTCCAGCAACGTCCCCTCTCCAACTAAGGAACCTTATTCTTACTTGGTAGAATGAGATCTAGTTCTGACTATAATTTAAATACCTATGATTTCAGTACCCGAATATGATGCACTCCAAGATAAAGTTGCTTCTGCTGCTTCCATTTCACAAGGAGAGATAGTTTGGGTGGAAGGTCTGGTCCCAGGCATTGATTTTTGCAACCATGGTAATTTAGCAGTCCTTTGGTACCACCTATTCCTGGATTAGTTCACTGATATTCTACTCTGCGGTTCTTTATTTGAACTATTTAATAATTTCTGTCTAATTAATGTGATTATATGGATGTGATGGAGCCTATGAATACACAGAACGAGCTAAAAGACGTCTTCCATCTTGCTTCTCCACTGAAATCTGTAATTTTTAGAGGCTGTTTGTTTCGCTTGTTTCCTTTCTCCGTTGGCTTCAGCTATTTCAAATGTCCAAGATACATGTATAATGCTATCTTGTATCTCCAGGACCATAAAACAAAGTTATTCTTAGCGCTTTTTTCAATTAGGAGAAAGTATCAAACTATTGACTCCAATTGCAATACTTGTGCAGCTGTTGTTTACTGTCATACTATACCCTCTTTTTCAAGAAATTATGATTTTGGCTTTATTTTGATAGATTTAGCTTCCGTTTTGAGGCACCTCTATTATCTCCAGAAAGCTGTTGTTGACAGTAGACAGTGTCAATTTATACTTTACTACAATCGTCTATCAGGCACACTCAATCAAGTTTTTGCTTGGATCTTTGTAGCTTTTCATAGATTAACATCTTACTCCTTGTATTCTTTTCTTCACTACTTGTTGTAAAGAGCAGATGTATAATATGAAGAGTGGATATATTGGTAGAGCTATTTCAGCTTCGTTTTCATGGCAAATTTCCCTTTGCATCAATTTACTTATAGCTTTTTTGATGGTGTTCTCTGCCTTCTAAAAGCTTTATCATTTAATTTCAATTACTGGGCCAAATTAGAGCGAACTGGATAGTGTGAACTCATATGCCAACCCTAATTAGCTTGGGAATGCGTAGTTGTTGTTGGAGCACAAAAGACTCTTGTATTTATCTATTTCCTTTTCTGCTGAAATTGCTGCATAGATTTCAAAGCTGCAGCAACATGGGAAGTTGATGGAACAGGAGCAACAACCGGAGTTCCTTTCTCCATGTACCTTCTTTCTGGTAGAATTTTTAACCAATTTGATTTCAGTATTTTAGTATATGCTATTTTTTCAATCCATACCATACACTCTTTGCTAGTTAGCCAACTAACTCGTGTGCTTCCTGATCAAAAAGCTGGAGAAAATCCTTCCCTGATTGAGAAAGAGATATCAATTAGTTATGGGAACAAGGGAAATGAGGTACATTCACCTGTTATGTGACATTTCATACACCAAATTTAGCATCGGAAACATTGCTTTGCTTAGTTTTGCTGAGAATGCTGGCCTTTTCCATTGATGAGTTATCTGGTAGCTTTAGTATGTTTACCACTGTTCGTCATCACTAATTATTAAAGAGGATCCTGCTGAGTGAGAAAGGTACATTCATAATGGTGCCTGAGCTGCTATATTAATGAGCTCTCCGCTGATGTCTATCTGGTTTTGGTGTAATGTCTAGAAAATAATGCAGTTTTTAGTCGTATTGCCCTTTTCTGGATCATGAAGCAATAGAAAAGCATTTTTGGATCTTTGTTCTGTCCTTTCCACAATTCTGAGAATAGGTTCATCTTTTTCCCCCCTATTATTCTTTTCATGTTTCATGCTAACATAGGTGGTTATCTTATGACAGGAACTGCTGTACCTGTATGGATTCGTCATGAATGATAATCCTGATGACTACCTCATGGTAATCTATTTAACGAATAATTAATATTATGAATCATTACCGGTTGCAATGCATGCTTGATCTCGTCTTCGTCCATGTTACAACATGACCCATGTTAAGAAGTAGAGGTCTTTGTCGATTAAATTGATTCAGGGTCTTAATTAAACTTTTGGCTTCACCTAATATAGTGGATGCATTGCTGGCATTCATTAACAACATATCAAGCCTAGGGCCTTTGTTTGGTATGCTGTACAGTCCATGTTTAATTTCAAGCCTCATAGCTACAACTGAGTGTGCTTCATCTAGTCACTTTGAGTATTATGAGGCCTTCTTCGAGTGGAACCTCATGGAGCACTTGGCATTAAGGGTCCATATGGATCAGAATTAAGTGCCGAAGGTTCTTAGTAAAGACCTCAAACTACTTCATCCTCATTAATTTGCTTGGATGCTTACCTTCTTTAACTGGTCAAATCTGGATTAAACTTACTCAATTGGAAAACAAATTTCAGGTTCATTATCCGGTGGAAGCTATTCAAAACGTTGATTTCTCAGATTCCAAAGCTCAACTTCTTGAAGCACAGGTCAGCAGGCTTTATCTTACAAAATAATCTCATGGAACTCTCAAGCAAGAGTCAGGGTTGGTGTCTCTCTATGTGCAGTGATAAGCTCATATCTGTCTGCAGAAAGCTGAATTGAGATGTCTCTTACCTCGAAGTTTGCTAAATCGTGGATTTTTCCCTCCATCCAACTCATCTGAGGAAGATAAAGATAAACCCGTCAGTAGTCAAGTTTGCAATTATAGTTGGAGTGGTCAGCGAAAGATGCCCTCTTACGTGCATAATCTAGTTTTTCCTGCAAACTTCTTGAATGCATTGAGAACCTTAGCAATGAAAGAAAATGAACTTTATCGTGTTTCTTCCCTACTTGAGGAGGTAAGATCCATCTTCAGCAACATCTCTTGGTCTTTTTTCATTTTATTTTTTTTAGATGGAAAAGAATAGATAAAAACCAAAATCCCCAAATATGCTTCTGGTTAATAGTTCCTACAACTCCAGTTTCAGTTCTGTGAATACCTGGTCACTCGTGAATCTCTTATGTTAATTAGATATTTTCTTTTGACTTCTGCTACTACGTAGATTCATTTTCTCCATTGTTGGGAACTAGGCATCGTCTAAATTCTTCTACAATCATGAGTAATCTTGATACATGTGAAAGGATGTGTAAAAATTTTGCTATAAATGAACTGAAAAATATCATGGAATTTAAACTGATGATTTTAGAAAGAAGTATTGAACTCTCGTATTTCTGCTCTCCCTTTGGTCGTCACCTGAGAAACCAAGATGTGAACACTGCCGTGTCTTGTAATTAGATTAAAAAGAGTACAGATGCTTCGTTAGTACTGCTTGTGAAGGTGTTTAACAGAAGTACATATAGGAAGGTGTTATTGTTCATGGAACAGACTAAAAATTAAAGTGTGAAACATAAAATGGTAGAGGGAGCGGTAGGTTTTCTCCATTGGTTTACTTGTTGTCTTATTAATCTTTCTAATCGCTTAAGCGAAAAAGCCATTACATACAGATCACTAATTTTTTTTATATTTCTCAAAGCTTGTTGGATCTGGAGGAGAAAGGCAGCCAACTGACACAGAAGTTCAAGCAGCAATATGGGAGGCTTGTGGAGATTCTGGAGCTTTACAACTTCTTGTTGATCTGCTTAACATGAAGTAATCTTCTTCCTAGTACTACCATATGGTGCCATTGGCAGTGTAGATTGAAAGACTTGCTATTAGATTCTTTGTGCTACTCGTATCTCTTGGCCTGTTGACAATGTATTTTTTTTTCTTTACTTGCTTACTCACTCTCTAAACTTTGTTTTCTCTTGAAGGATGTTGGATCTAGAAGAGGGTTCAGGAACAGAGGAGAATGACACTGAATTACTTGAGAAAGCTCGCACTGCAGAAACCTCAGAAGATTGCAAAGAGTAAGATCGAAAACTACTCCCATACTTTTACCTTTAAGAGAAGTTTTTGTTACTTGACTTCCCAACATGAAAATAGCATGCAGGTTTAACTTTGTTAAAACTAACTTTACTGCAGATCCAGGACCAGTGACATTGCCCAGAATCATTTGCTGAGTAGAAATAAGCAATCTAGCATAATATACCGGCGGGGACAGAAACAACTAACTCGTCTCTTCGTTAAGGAAGCAGAGCACGCGTTGCAATTAGCATTGACTGAGGAACTCTAGATAAATCTTGGGTTAGAACTTTTACCTAAATATTTGCTCTATACATTAGAACTTTTAACTTACTCTACATTAGTCAGACAGAAAGAAGTTAAGAACATTAATATTTCAAGATCATTTAGAACACGATTTTGTCCGTCACAAAAATGGTTAAAACTGGGAAATCACCAAGTGCTTCTCTCTTTCCATGACCAGTTTTGAAACATAATAGTGACAAGTGAGTGATCACTCTTCCAAGCCAGCAACATTCCTGAGTGTCCAGCCAATACCATATGCAGCAGCCCCAGCAATGAGTCCATTGAAAAGGGTGATGCCTGCAGAAAGTGCATAATTCTGACTAGCAATCTTGGCCTTAGCTATCCCCAACAGTGCCAGGGCAACTGCAGAAAACACACAGGCACCAATGAACTTATACGTGTCATTTTTTGTGAACGGGATGAGCACGATGAATGCCAGAAGCGGGGCACAACCAAACACAATGAAGGCAGTAAATGTGATTAGCCCACTCTTCCATGGCTTGTCAGCTTGATCTGGTGGCAATAATCCTTTCTGTATTGCCATCTTCTCATCTATCATGATGTCCCTATACTTTGCAAATATATTCACCACCTTGCACCAACAGAAGAGATTGTTAATCTCGTGCAGGGGATAACTGGTGTCTGCGTGCAGCTAGAACTTCATACTGAAAAGAATGGGAAAAAAAACAGAGCATTCAAGTATAGGATGAAAACTCAAAACATACTGTATTAGCATCAGTATCATTCATTCCAAGTTGCTGATAATGTCGAAGTAATTCCTCCTTCTGAGGCCTGTGTTGATTAATGACATCCCACTCAGTTACTGTCCTCTCCTTGGCTGCCACATCTTTCTCCGTGCTGCTTGACACATAGTCCCCAAACCCCATAGATATTCCATCCGCAACTAAATTAGCAAAACCTAGCACCAAAACATCAACTGCAATAACAAAAACAAACATTTACACAGTAAGCTAGCTGCAATATTCTCCATTGAACAAACTCATAGATAAACTCTATGGCATCATATGTAATATTTGTTGCAAATTTGATGATTTTTTACACAAGACCAAATGTGAAATCAAATCATTTTTCTTGGGTACCAGAGGAAAGATGGCCAGCAGAGATGGAAGAAATGAGGGAGAAAGAAGTGACAATGGCATCAAGCCCTGCATACACGATGCTCTTCACTACTTCTCCTTTCCATGGCTCTTTCGGTCTCCCATTCTTCCCCTTCCCTTTCTCCAATTCTCCATCTAATGATCTCAGTAATGGCTCCCTAAATCCACCGTTGCTGTTTGTTTCCGCCATTTTTTCTGATCAATTCACTTCGACTACTCGATCGGGGAGGGTAAAAAGTGTTTTTATGCAATTGGTATGTACACGTGTTAAGCTGTTATTTATTGTTGTGAAGAATTTGTCATCGAAGCATCTTTCTTCTTCCTTCACGTGTCCATTTCCACTTTTTAGCATCTTGTAAACGGCGTGTGGCAGCCACAGTACCCTTCACCTAATGTTCCTTAATTTACTAGTAACAACTTTAGCCCATTTTAGGCCTAATTTGTTTTTATTATTAAAAAATAATAAGATGTATGAATGGATATTTGATATTAAAATTTGGGAAAAGGGTCAAAAAATGTACTTAAACTATGTGAAAGGAATAAAAATGTCCTTTGTTTGTAGTTTGGTCCAAAAATGTCGTCAATATTTTGATCCAAAAATGCCTTCATTATCATTTAATGGGCCAAAAATGCTCATTTTCCAAATAAAATATATTATTTATTTTCCTTTTTAATACATTCTTTTCTAATAATATTTTTTTAAATTAACAAATATTTATCTTACTTCAAATCAGAAAAAAATGAAAATATTTCTTATTTTATTATAATTATTTTTTATGATGGATATACTATGATCTTAGAAAGGGTAAATGAAGTTATTCTATTTTAATTGATAAAATGAGATTAAGAAGAAAAAAAAACTCCTACATTTTTATTTGTTAAAGTGATTTTAAAAGAAAGAAAACAAGAACAATGTTCTTTAATAATATGTTAATTAGGAAGAAGATATGTTTAAAAAGAAAAAAATAATATATTTATTCGAAAAAGGCATTTTTGATCCATTTAGTAACTATAGGGGTATTTTTGGATCAAAGTATTGACTGTAAGGGTATTTTTGTTCCTTTCACATAGTTTAAGGGCATTTTTGACCCTTCCTTAAAATTTAGATACGTGAATCAAAGTATAGACATATGAATATATTTGAAGAGTAATAAGTGTGATGATTAGTGATGGTTAATGTAAATTGGTGATGAGGTTGACTAATAGAGATGGTTATTAATAGTATTTAGCTATGATGGTCGAAGGCAATAGTGAGTAATATTAATTATTGATAGTAATAGTTGATGATGATGATGGCAGTTAATTGTGTGATGGACTACAAAATTAATGAATCATAACGGTGGTGGTTATTGATATATGAAGTGATGATGGTTAATGATAGTGATTATCACTAATGATAATGGTGATTGGTGATGTTGATGGTAAATGACGACGATGGTTGTCAATATATATAGTGGTGATTAATGATGGTAATTGTCGATAATAGTGATTGGTGGTGAATATTGGTGATGATCGTAAAAGATGGCAAATGACAGTGATACGACGATGATGATTGTGGGTGAGTTGGTTGATAATGATGCACAGTGACAACAATAATGGTAATTAGGGGTGAAAGTAGATGAAATGGTGATGAACGGTATATTTATAGAATCTTTTTAATGGATATTGATATTAAAACTTCGCTATAATCTTAATCATATAGATCTATTTGACTTATTAAACAATTATAAAATTAAATAATTATAAAAACACTTAACGATTAAAATTGAATAATTAATTCAAACCTAAAAACAAACTGATACAATTATCAACTAAAATTTCCCTTACGTGCAAACAAATAAGGTCTAAGATAATTTTCGCGCTGAAATAAAGTTCATAAGCTTTCAATCTATAAAGTGGCTGGGTTATCTTCTTATGGAGGAAAGGTCAAATTGTCTCTACTAAGATTTTAACTCAATCTCCAAAATTTTCACTCACTTCATTAATCGTTAAATCACTCTCGAATGTTATTAGAAGTTAGATCATACCTTAGATATTATGAAGACTCGACTTAGATCGATAAAGAACCTAACCAACTGTCTGACCAAAAATTAGCAATTACTGCATCCATATTCATCATCTAAAGATGGACTAAATTCCCTTAGAAGAACAAATCTGATAAATATTTACCACCTTAGATGAATTGCAATAAAGTATATATATATATATTATATTTTTTTAAAAGAGCCTAGCATTTTGTTGCCATATTACAACTATAAAAGCTAATCAAAATTGAAATAATAGACTAAGCTAGAGTGTCTGCTTTTTGTTTTAGACCAAAGGTCTCTTCTCTTCTTCCTCTTCAATGCCTATCTGAAATCTGTTATCTTCAGTCTCGCGAGGTTTTTCAGTTTGTTGAAGAGGGATAATTTTCTGCGGCCTAGGATGCGGGGGTTTGTTTTCAGGCAACATCTTCATTATGATGCACATACACATCAACAGCAATCCAGTACCATGTTGTTCGGTCAAAGGCTTTGTGAATATCAAGTATGAAAGCAATAATGTTACAGCCTTCCTTGCAGTTGTAATCTGATAATGTCGATGCAGTTAATGATTTGTACAAATTCAAGCAAATGCGAGTTCAAGTTGGAGATGTACACACACGGTCATAATGAGATAATCAAGAAACTTCGTTAAAAGGACAAGTCTTAATAGAAACAAACCATTGTAGTAGTGGCAGCACCAAATATTGCTACGAGGGAAAGGACAGACACTTGCCCCACGAAAGTAGCGCAGGCTTCAAACACCAAGACTCCGTAAACATAGGGATGCTGCAGGAGAAAAAGAAACAAGGTAAGCAGGAAAAAAGGTTGAAACAAGATGCATGTTTCTGGTGATGATTACCTGAGCACATGCAGGCCATGCTATCCTTAGTTCTCCTGTTACAATCATAGCCACAAACAAGATAGGAAAGCCGACAATTGTTGAGCAATAGAGCATCTCCATCTGTTAAAGTTAAAGGTTAAACAAACAATCCTAAAGGTGTGAACTAGTCACAAGTTTGTCATGAACGAGTATTCTCGTGATTAAGCATCGTATTGAATGCAAAAGCACATTAAATAAACCTGTGTTGTGTTAGGATTAGAAGTGAAGATGGCCTCTTGATAATTCCCCACAAAAGAATCCATAACCAAAGCACCAGATATCATTAGCACACCAATTAAGCTGAAATTTGGCGAGGTTTGTGCATCAGCCAAAGTGAAAAGAATCAGGCCTGCTACCAAGAGTACTGCCGAAACATATTCATGGGGTGGATATTTTCGTCGCAGACCGGGCACGAAAGCCCCCATTACCATGACAGGCAAAACCTGAAATATTTGTAAATGGAACATGAAGCTTGTAAAGTACAACAGACTAATAAACTTCTATCCCACTAATCAATGAGACGCACAAAATTGTTATTCCACCAAGATTATCATTAATCATGTTGTGTCCTGGACTATGAAGAATAAAAAGTTAACGACTCTAATTGCACAAAATCTTATGTTAAAAGGAAAGGCAGTTGTCAAGGTGCGCCAAAAGGCACTTGGTTAACTGAAATATCATATTTGTTTATTTTGTCCCTTATTGTTCTTATTGATAAGTTTAGCATAGGAAACAACTTAAAAGTCCTTCGAGATCTGTCATAAAATTGGTCTACCATATTTACCAAAGACGGGGATCTCTGATTGGTATTCTTTTCCTACTAATTTCATCTAGGCTGCTTATGTAATTTTATATATTAGAGACGAGCATCTTCTCTTTGCGAGAAAGAGAGGAATTGACTTAGGTATTCACCTTGGCAGATTTGAACATGATTTGTGCTGGATAGTTGAGGAAAGCCAAAGACCCTTTCGT